AGATTGTGACCAATCACAGCAGACCACTGGCCCCCACTTTCTTGAGAAAATCTACAGGTCTGTGGTTAGCACAGACAGCTGAGGTAAACAAGCGGCGGAGGCTAACCTGAAACTTCCCGTGTATTCGTTACCGGTTACTGCTTACTCAGAGAAACAGCAAATAAAAAGAATGTCTGTGCTTCCCGGTTCTATCATTCTATGGTCATGTCATTCGAAAATTTCACAAAGTGAGTTAGTGCAGCTTTAAAGACTGACAATAGTGCAATTTTTTTTACTTAGACAGGTCTATTGTACAATCTGATAGCCGGGGGAACAAAAAATCTCTTAAAGCGCTCAGTAGTGATGGCAATACCGTTGTAACAGTAGCAGTAGAACTAGTATCAGTCAGTGTAGTACTTGCAGTAGTAATAGTGGCAGAAGCAGCAGAAATAGTAGAAAAAGTAATTGTAACAGTAGTTGTAGCAATAGTTCTTGTACTTTCAGTGGTAATAGCAATTGTCAGTTTCTTTGACTGATGGATGGACCAAGTGTTCCTGGAATAGGACATGTCCCCATACGATACAAGATTGTCTGACCTTTCGTTATCATTTTGTACAAAGCCAACCCCCCAATATTGAAAAGTACATCTATTCGCTGCATAACGTTAACAGTGACCTTCAGAAAGACAGTGCAGTGTTTCTGAATACATCAAAGACCAGGGAGATAGCATGGCATGGTTTTTTCATCAATAATCTCCACGTTTACCCACCAGCAAGAACACCTTTGGAGGGGTAGCTTAAGGCAGAAGGTGAAGGAGAAATGAGGCAAGAATGCAATAACTTTTCTTTTTTGTTTCTTGAGCAATAGCATTAATATTTAAGTTTAAGCCGGATTTGCTTCTCGCCAAAAGTAGAGAGCGTGTGAAATAAGTTGGGGCCCAGCTGTCCCTACAGAATGCGTCTTATCACTGATCTGGGCTGTACTAAAGCTGCAGAGAATATAATAACAGCCGACGTTCCTTTTGCGTTTTCTCTGTTTGTCACCGCACACACAAAGGAGGACGCCTCGACAATTGGTTTCCACGACTGACTGGCTTTGAATGCACCAGGAATACATACCAGAAGTCATACCAGAGGTTATGCAAAACAAAAACGTCGAAGAGAAGATTGACAAATACCTGCTGTTTAGAATACTGTACGTGCTGATTATACATGGTTGAAGGTATACAGTACAGGAATGTATTTGGAGGAAGTTCAAAAGTTTGCTTTTAGTACTTAAATACAAGTACAATATTGCCACCTTTTTACTTTTCTACTTTCTTTTTGCTGGAAGGTTGTGGAAGGGAGGGGCGAGAGTAGCTCAGTTGGTAGAGCACTGGCCTGTAGGCCTGAAGGTCGTGGGTTCGAGCCCACCATAAGACCTACTTCACGACTCCCACTGATGACTGCTGTCGTTGTGTCCTTGGGCAAGACACTTAACCCCACTTTGCCTGAAGCCCTCGCTGAAAGATCTCAGCTCCTGTGGACTCACCACCTGCAGGAGGATCAGTGAGGGGCTGGTGCTCTGTGACTGGGTGCAGCCCTGACTGCCACCCCCCCGACCCAGAAATGGATTAAGGGGAAGAAAATGGATGGATGGATGGATGGATGGTTGTGGAAGGGAACGGCCGATTTATTGATTTTACCAATTTTAAAGTCTCAGAAGACATTTTAGTCGTCCAAGATTTTGTTCGACAATATTATTGGAATTTATGTCAAAACCTTAACTAATTCCAATGTGTTGTACCTCATTTAAAGCTCGCAGTCACATGTACATATTCCAATACAAGCTTATATTCATGATGGTAAATAATCTTAAAAAGTGGGAGTGCTAGTGCTATTTCATTTTTATTTAGTCCACACTGTCATCCAGCCAACTTCATCTCTGCTACTATAAAACATGCCATATTAAACCCATATACACATATATAGACGAAAACAATGTCTTAATAAATACAATTACAATACAATACAATTTATTCTTTTATAGCCCTAAATCACAAGAGTAATCAACTCAGAGGGCTTAAAACCGTTGAAATCACCAACACAAATCAGAGAATCAATCAAATCAGTTACGACACAAAAATAATATAGAACACATGTTGATAAATGTCATACATGTTGTAGAATGTTAAAGTGTCCTGGATCATCACCACAGTCCATTTTGTCAGACACTAACTACCCAACAGACTCCTGCATCGGCAAGGAAAAACTCACAAAAATCCAGTGGGAAAAAAGTGAGAAACCTCGGGGAGACCCACATAAATAAGTTATCAACAGAGTGTCATTCTTCCTGGATATGGTCCGGATTCTGAACGATCGGACCATAAACCACACTATCATAGTTAGAACCACCACTGTAATTCTATTGGGACATAATCTTTAGATCAATCCTTTCCCAATGCGTATACAACTATACAAGTGAAACTCTGAGGAAAAGAACTATGTCCAAAAGTGTATGTATTTTTGTAATTAAGCTTGTGCCCCCAATACATGATACAGACTCGAAACATGCACAGTGAGTGATATAAAATGTGCCAAGCCTTTTTCTGTCATAATGTTGATGATATTTTGCTTACGACCCATTTCCCAATACTCAAATACTTCAAAGATTAAAACAGAAATAGGCCTGATACATCATCACGTATCAGTCTCACGTTGTAAGTTGAAAAAAGTACATTGACTTTGGACGATTTTCTAATTTTTCACCTGAAGCTAAACTTTCTCAATGCTTGCTGGTGAAACTTTATAATTGGAAGGACAGGTTTTTATGTGTGAACCTGTCTCCCATCTTGGTTCAGTCAAATAAAGCTGTCAGGATTGATAGATTGTTTCATTAATTAAGCTGCTTTGCTCCACTACATACCAATAATGTTTAGTCATTCATCATCTTTGCATATTATCATTTGCATTCAGATGCCAGTCACTTTTTTCCCTCTTCTCCTTCATCTTCAGTCATTGCTGTGGGCACAATCTGCTTTTTGATCCATGCACATACGGTTTAAATTAGAGCGATAGTTTCTGACAATGCGCTGAAGCCTTTCTCCTCGAGACAACAGTTTTATTACTCAATCACCGCTATTGTAATGTTATACAATTTGACGCGAGTGCTAATTGCCTTATCAATGAGTACGAGCCAGAAACAAGATTGCATATGTTTTTCCTTCATTGGAGTTAGCGTACGGTGCTCATTGTTAGTGATTTGTCCCTTTGTGGAGCTGCCTGTATTCTAAATGTGTTCTTGAAGTGACTTTAAAAAAGACTGATTTGACTGCTGCATTGTTATGAGTCATTGTCTTTTCTCAGATGTATGTGAGGGCGAAAAAAATCATTCAAGTAAGAGGGATTTTCTCTGGGCCATAATAGCACTGAGTCACTGGAGAGAAATCTCATCTTCCCTGCTATTATTCTTGCCTTGATGAATATATTTACTTGCTATAATAATGTACCATCCCAGAAGAAGCTTTGTATTAATAGTTTTGCCATTAGACGATTGGCCTTGACTTTTACTGCAACTTGAAAGTTAAGTACTTTTTATGATAATGAGAAATGGCAAGGTGACAGCTTTGACACACGCAAACATATTCAAATCTATATTCCCCACATTTGCATAAACAATAATTCAAGGTAAAGGTTTGATGTATGTGTTTTCTCCAGCTTTATCTAATCGTAATCTTATCATAGCATGAGGCTGGTACATTCGGATAAACAATTATGTTTTAATATAAGCAAGGGTTTGGTGTTTGGACTCAAAGAACCCTGAAATCACTAGAACTCCAAGTGCCGTAAATTTGACTGCTCCCATTCAACCAATGGAGTTCTGAAAAAAATATTCCATAGATTAATTGCTTAAAAGTGAGGTTTTCTATTACCTTTTACTTTTATTAATTATTCATTTGAACTTGAAATAGAGCAATAAGTTGTGTTGCACCAAAAGCACCAAAAAGGTGGGGGGAAATTCTCGATGCTTTATCATAATCAATACAGAAAAAGTCAACCAGTCATTGTAGTTCTGTTTTTTGTGTATTAATTTTTACTTGTGTATTTGTGCCTTTCGGCTGCTGCAACCAAATTGCCCCTCGCGGATAATAAAGACACTTTGAACCTTGAACTTTGTAGTCACAAATTTAGCAAGATAAAAAAGGTACGCACGTTGAGAAATTACACTTCCAAAACTAAAACCTGTCAAATGGACTGCTGTGTACCGGAGCTCTCGTGTAAATAGTGAGATTTTACAAAGCATCCCTAAACACGGGTATTGCACAATGTACTGCAGTGCTGCTCTGTGCGAAGTCAGACCAGGATAGAATGTCTAAAATAGTCGACAATGTGACTATATAAAGAAACATTCATGGCTTGGTTTGGGACTTGGCCCCTGTAAACATTGTTTTGCCCTTTTAGATTTATGCATCTTTAATAGATCATGTTTCTCCATTGTGCAGGAAGAGTGTGACTTCCTCTCATGCATACACTGAGCGCATATACGTCATTCTACGCAGTTTCTGACTAAAGTTCAGCCGTTGTAGCACATTAAAGATGCATGATACGAATCCTGTGAGATGGGATATCATATGACGATTCGCTCAAATAATGTAGGCATTTTATTCAATAGTCACTCGTGTCTACAGTCATAAGTTTCTGCATCATCAAATATAAATTCAACAGTGATCCAATCAGTAGCAGTTATTAGATTGAATGTCTGTCTTTTTCGGTTATGTTTTTGGAGGGGATAAAGCATACAGTGCAAATAATATTTTGCTCCCTTGCATCATCGCTGCACTTAGTATTGGAACAAAGACGGCTAAAAATAAACATGCCACATTTTAAAACGCATGCCCCAGAAAGCATTGTGTATCTTTCTGGTCTATCTTTTGAATCCATCCTCATTAAAACAATTTGACTTGTTTAACACTCAAAAAAGCATTTTTTTGTGCTTTTACTAAAAAGTTGTTCTCTCTTCTGCTTTCTTTCAGATCCGCAGCGATGCAGTCCTGCCTCATTCTCGTCGGCTTTGTCCTGTCCATGGCTAAAGCCCAAGATATCCCCCCTTCAGAGGCATCTTCTCTTAGTGAATCCTGTGACTCCCTGTGTTCATGCGAGGGCAAAGATGGCATCTTGTATTTGAACTGTGAGCAGCGAAACATAAGCAAAATCTCCCAAATCAAAGTCCCGGCAGGCGTACCCTTCCACCTGAACCTCTACAAAAATGATTTGGTTGAGCTGCGTGCCGAGGAGATGGAGGGGCTTAAGCATGCCCTTTCACTGCACATTGGGGGTAATAGCATACAAGAGTTGGAGCCAGGGGTGTTCAGTGCTCTCGGATCACTGAAAAAACTCCACATAAACAGCAATTTCCTCGTCACACTGAAAGAGGACACTTTTCAAGGCTTGGTGAATTTAGAGTTCCTCCAAGCTGACACCAATTTTATCCGGGTCATCGAGCCTGGGGCTTTCAACAAACTGATCCGTCTCAAAGTCCTAATCCTCAACGATAATTCCATTGAGTTTTTGCCCAACAACATCTTCCGCTTCGTGCCCCTCACCCATCTCGACTTAAGGGGCAATAAGCTTCAAACTCTCCCCTACGTTGGATTCTTGGAGCATATTGGGCGCATCATGGAACTACTTTTGGAGGACAACGACTTTGTGTGTGACTGTGACCTTTTGCATTTAAAAATCTGGATGGAAAACATGCGTGCACAGTCGGCGTTAAGTGATGTCGTCTGCAGTCATCCACACCAACTTAAAGGTATTATTCTGGCCAAAGTCAAACGAGACGTCCTATGCCCCTCCCACGCTGAAATCAACTTAGAGGAACCTTCTAAGTCACTCGATATGGTCGTCACCCCCTCGTCCAAGAATCAAATTCCCAAGCAAAGTGACGCCAAAGACGATTCCAAGATCCCCATGCCATCTCACCTTCCAGGCAGTCCTTGTGTCGAGTACTGCGCCTGTCATAATCATCCTGTGACTGGGTTTTTGATGCATTGTCAAGACCGGGGCATCCAAGAGGTGTCGGATATCGGGATTCTCCAGCAAAGCCCCACTAAGCTGGTTATGACTGGGAATATGATCCAAAAACTGCGCAAGTCGGACTTTGTTACATACGATAGTTTGGAGTTGCTGAACCTTGCCAACAACAGAATTGACTACATAGACAATGAGACGTTTCTGAGCTTGAGCAGCCTGAAGAAGCTCTATTTGAACGGAAACAGAATTGAAAAACTCTTCTCAACCATCTTCGTTGGCCTTCATAATCTTGAATTCCTTTACCTGGAATACAACCTCCTCAAAGAAATTGCGCCCGGTACATTTAACCCTCTACCAAATCTGAAACTTTTGTCTTTGAACAACAACCTCCTGAGCTCTTTACCACCCCAAATTTTTCGTAACGTCCCTCTCAACAAATTAAACTTGCGTAAAAACTTACTCATGCACCTGCCAGTGAGCAATGTACTGGACCAACTTGACTCCTTGGAGCAGATTTATTTAGAGGACAACCCTTGGGACTGCAGCTGTGACTTGCTCAGCTTAAAACAATGGGTGGAAAAACTGAAAAAGGACACTGTGGTAGGCTCTATTGTGTGCCACACTCCAAAGAAAGTGGTACAATCTGAATTGAGGAGCCTACGCCATGAGATGCTATGTCCAAGCTTGGGAACATACTACCCCATTGAAGAGGACGCAGTTACCACCACTCTCGGCCCGGACAACACTGGAAGAGGTTTGCTGACTTCCTTGACAGAGACTGTACCACTATCAGTACTAATATTAAGCATGCTAGTCTTTATTTTGATGATAATATTCTGCTCTGCCGGACTGGTGGTGTTCGTGGTGCACAGGAGACGAAGGAGGGCTAAGAGAAAGGCATTGGAAGAGCAACCACGAGAAAATTCAAATAGCAGTCCTATCCATTTACACTATAGCATGTACGGGCAAAAGACGACGCACCATACGCTAACCCAACGCACGGGGTCTTCTAGTTTGTATGAGGAAAGATCCCACAGTCCTATCGTCCAAATTTGCCGCAACCCTACTTACTGTGCCCAACACAAGGAGCACGACAGCGATATGGATTACAGCCTGGAAGATTCTGGAATGAAACACCAAGTTTGTCGGAGCATCATGGAAAAGGAGAACACTTCTCCTCTCACCGGAAACCCAAAATTCAGGTCGTTGCCTGGAGACTGCCCCGCGGAGTTTGTCACGCTGGGAAATCCGAATTCCCTTTACAGAAACATTTTCGAGCGGGAAAAGGAGCTACAGCAACTGGGGATTACAGAGTATCTTCGGAAAAACATGCCCCAGCTTCAGTCGGCGGTGGACATGCAGGTCCCGGGACATCAGGAAGAGTTGAAGCTCATGGAGACAATTATGTATACAAGACCACGCAAGGTGATGCTTGAGCAAACTAAGAACGAGTACTTTGAACTCAAAGCAAACTTGCACACTGAACCGGACTACTTGGAGGTCTTGGAGCATCAAACTCCTTTTAACTAAACAGACAATTTAACTATGAATATTATATGGTTCCAAACCAAGTGCCTTGTCCTGTTTGCCACAGTGTGAGATATTATACAATGGGCACATTACTTTTGTTTGAGTCGCACAGAATGTAACTGGATTTACCTGTGCAACCCTTTCCTGTCAACTCCTTATATAGCTGGCGAGGTGTGATCAGATGTGTCTAAACATTCAGGCATAACAGTTTTACCACTGATAAGAATGTATCTGTGCATCACACTTGAAGGTCAGCGCATAATGTGAACAGACAGCATATTGTTGAAGAGAAATAGTTGAAAAGCATGTGAAGAAATGGGACTTTAATATCAATTAAGCAGGTATTTTGGTGTGTTCCTAGGAAGTATTCAAAGTTCAAGAGGACATTCAAAGCATGTGGCTGGAATGCTATGCCTGACTGTTGCATACCATATCATGAACTGAGTTTGTTAAGGGCAGGCCCGGTCTAACCTTTTGTATCCCACTTCATCAGCGTCTTATGATTGATGGGAGTTAAACGCCCCACCCTTGCCAAACACATCGATCCACCCACTGTCACCCCCACCCTCTCGTCTCCCCGCGCACCCCGACAGGATGGCAGCAGCTGTATGCGAAAAAACCAAGAGAGTGAATTCCAATCACCACTTGACCCAGAATTGCTGTTTAATCACTCTATCCTTGGTGGGGCTATGACCTGATTACTCCCCTCTGTCAAACAGATGCAATAGTGCAACGAGAATGCTCATTGTGCCGTATTGTCAGCGAAATGACAAGTGTAACGGGAGAAATAGTGATAGAAGTGGGTTTTTGTTGGTGTTTTGCTGACGGGTTATGACACACTGCGATGTTAGCAGTCACAAGGACCTTATTTATTTTTATACAGATTCACTTTAAAGGTGATTTAGTTCTCCTGTAGAAAATAATAGCACTTAGAGGTACGGTATATTCTACACCTAGATGTACAAATGCACTGCACTGTTCAGATGCCATAAGATGGTGCATGACAATCAAGTCCTGCTGACGACTTTCTTTTTGTTTTTGAGATGAGCCACTATGAGGATGTGTGAATGGTTTGGCGGTAAACCTATTTTTGTTACAAATTGTATTCTTATTCATGCTACCACTTGAACTGGTTTTTAAATGGATGCCATGTATGCATTTGCAACTAGTTGGTTTTCATCACTGACATTGTATACCAACGATTAACACTGGTGAACGGGAAAATTGCAAATGAAAAAGGTTCATCCAAGCACATGCTCGGTAGCTTTTATACTGACATAGATTGACTTATTTATTCTGTATATTTTGTATATACTTACGTTTATGATTAATTATTCTATCTTTTGTTCGTTTGTTTGTTTTTGTGTGCCTTCAGTGATGTACAGAATATATTGAGTTGTAAACTAATAAAGGATATAAAGAACGATATTATGGCTGGTTTATGAAATGGTGTATTTTTTGTGTTAAAAGAAAACAAAAATGTGGCAATGAAGCAGAGGGTTGTGTTATTCCACCCACGGACGCCGAGTGCTGACTCCAAAAAAGCCTTGGCAGCAACTAAGTCCAATTTATAAGGAAAACTACTGTGAACTTCCCTGTACAAAGTCAATATTTATTCATTTTGCTCAAGTCTATCTGATAGTTTGCACTTTCTGAAGACTCTGCAATGGCCATCCCTATATTGTAAATACTTAATCTCTCATTTCCACAGCTATAAAAATGAATAGAGGCCATATGGGCAGTAATAGGCATGTGTGATTGACTGGAGGCCTCTGTGATCTTGCTAAGCTGCCTTTCATTGCGGGGCACAATTATAATGATTTTTTTCTTTTGTGATAATAGCGTGACCTTGTCCACATGCATAATTGATTGTTACAGACTAAAAGCCCTTTACTAATCTTCCCAGTTAAGATTAGGAGTTAGTGCGGCAATTACATGTTAGAGAAATGCCGCAGCTACGGAAATGGGAACTCTTGCATTAAGTGATTACACCATGAGATGAGAAGAAAGGCTTGGGTCAAAATTGTGTGGCGATAGTTTACTTTTTGCAACTTATTGACAGCTTCAAAGACTACTTTAGTTTTAGCTAAATGTTTTTTAATGGCTACGCACGGTTCTATGCTGTGGCTATACAATTTTGTCCCAAACCATGCAAGCCCCAGTCTGACCAATTTGTTGATATTTGTACGTTTTTTTAGTCTGGGACTTTGATGTTTTGATATTTTCTTGAAACTCTTAAAGCATTCGATAAATTGAAAAGGAATCATTCCGTTGCTCTTATTGATTTAAAGTTATTTGATTATTATTATTATTATGTAGGATTTGGAATCGGACCAATGCTATGTACAAAGACAAATAAATATATTGCACAGAATTGGAAAGGTTATGTACTGTATGTTTGACACTGACTTTTTCAATAAAAAATAAAGCTGGGGTATCTAACTTCCAACTTTCTCTCACCTGCCAAAAATAATACCTCATCATTTACTTCTGAAGTAGTTTCTCTCCTGGAGGAAAAGTTTGGAGACCCCTGATCTACAGTAAGTCACAGACGATTTTCCGCATGAAGCCAATCTTAACACAACTCTTTTTCCAACAAACTATTGACCGTCTTGTCCCCATCGTGCTGTCCCCACACCCACACATTGGTCTGTACACACACATACACACACACACACATGTTCCTGTATACACACCATTCGCCTGCTCTTCCCGCCGTGTGAATTATTTAACCCCCCGCAATGCAAAAACCTCGCCCTTAATCTCACAACAATGGCTCCGGGGCTTCTCTCCAGCCCATCCTTTAAGCACCACATTTCTGTACAACGACGACTTCTAGGGGGAGAAGAAATGAAAAATCGTCCACTCCAATTCCAACATTTTCTATCATAATTGATGCATTGGAACGTTTTTACCAGAATGCATGAATACACTCCTTCACGGACTGTGGGCACAAGTATATTTCCTGAACGTTAATAAATAAATTCCAGGCTTTTGCGCAGAGAAGGAAAAACGGTCGTATCATCATCTATTGCTCGGCCCCGTGAGAGTCGTGAGCTGGAGAGAGGGCGAGGCATTAGTGTTGGTGCATAGCTGTGTTTGGAGACTGTTTGGTTGCTTTCGGGACTGGCTTCAAAGTAGACGGATTCGCTTATGACCTGAATCTCAGCACGGCGCCTGTCGCAAACAATGCTGCAGTGTTAAAAAGTTGGAATGAAGAACGGGGTTACAGAAAAAAGACCTTACCAGCTATAGTTGAAATATAAACTTTAAATATAACTTGAATATAATCTGGTGGGACCTAAGGGACGAAGGAGATTGTCAAGTGAGAATTATGTTTATCGCATGCATAAGCAAGAAATTAAATTGAGATTATGAGATGATATCCCCCGGGGCCTAGATCCTGGGGGTGGTAGCTACAAGAAAGGAGCTGAGAAGATTTCTGAGCCAATGAGGCAGTAAAGTGGAGGAGGAGAGTTGCTGCACGATTCAAACAGGCAATGTCTATGGGCTGTGTCAGAGTGGCAGAGTGGTTTACTCTTGTGCTATACCTTCCTATGTGGAGTTTGCATGTTCTCTCCGTGTTTCAGTTTATTTATTATTGGAGCAGAAGGTAAAAATACTTGTGTGCCCATTACATCGTGATACAATTCAAGTTATCATAACATAACCTTTGTCTGCGTGGGTTTCCTCCGGGTGCTGCGGTTCTCCCTACCACTTTGTGACTCTGGTCTGTGAAAGCCGCATGGTTAGTAAAGATTACTTACTACTACTACTTTTATTTGTTACACTGTCATTATTTAAGTGCTGTCTTGATAAAAAAAAGGTTATGAAGGTCGAGAACGTTTTTTGGGCAGTGGAAATGAGGCTCTAGCTTTGCTTGGAATGCTTCATAGTACGCTTCTACACCTTTGAGAAAGTGGTGTTGCCTTTTATGGGCAAACTATTCTTAGAGGAAACAGGTTTATTTTTTCAATTCTGCACGGTTCTTCAAGACGGTCGCATAAGATCAGAAAAAAATCCAAAGAAACTCCAGACCTGACCATGAAAGATGTATAGTAAAGCTTTACCTTCTAAGATCTTTGGAGAGGAGTGTGTTTTGGTCCAAACAAGATTATTCAAAGGGCTTTACATTCGTCACATGGTATGAAAAAAATCTACAGACAAAAGTTAATCACCATGGAAACAAGTGAAATCGCCCTCTCATGTTCCTAACTCCTCTTATCACATAATTATACCGTGTCAAGTATCTCTTTGATGACATGAAGACAGGGCATTGTGGGGATCTTAAAACGTCATAAAGAGTTATAAGATTGCCAAGAAAGTCCTGGCAGATGTACAACAAAAGTATTCCATAAGTTTTGGCTTGAGTGACCGTAGAGTCAGCTGCCTTCTTCGACTCGCTGGAATGAAAACATGTCAGTCTGCCATCACCAGACTTAGGATTGCGACGTGAGAAATTTGCATATCAGCCATTCGTGCCCTTCCCTTGTTATTGCATTGGCATTTCTGTGGACTTGCAACTCCTTTTGAAGTGATATTGACAACATATTGGATCATATTGCTACCATAACACTACTTATTAAAGTCTGAATGTGGAATATAGAACTTGCATCTTTATCATGCGAAAAATGTCATGCTAGTTTCTTTATTATGCTTAAGTTAGAGATTTATACTTGCTTCTTTATCATGCTAAAGGCAAGGCAAGGCAGGGCAACTTTAATTGTATAGCACGATTCATACACAAGGCAACTCAAAGTGCTGAACAAAATAAGGTAGCATTAAAATCATAAATAATCACAGAACATTAAAAGGATACAAATATAAATCCCTCAGTTGTAGCACAGCTACAGAACTGTTTTTAACCTGGTTTTAAACATTGTCATTGAGGAGGCCTGTCTCACATCTTCAGGAAGATTGTTCCAGATTTTAGCAGCATGAATCTGAAATGCAGCCTCCCCATGTTTAGGTCTGACTCTGGGCACTAACAGGAGTCCAGT